GAGTTTTGCGGCCTAAAAGCTCCTAAAAGCCATGGATCTAAGAATCGATTAAGAACCCTAATCTTTCCGACCTCGGTCACCGACGACGACGCTTAGGAAATAACACAAAACGCACCCCGAGTTATTGGGCTTTCGTTAGGGATCCCTCTTATGGTGGTAACAGGCCGTTTGGTGTTACTTTGAGGGTGGTTTGAGGCCTCGTCGGAGAAACTGGACACTCGCCGACGTTTGTCCGAAATCTCTCTCTCTCTCTCCAAATTTTCTCTCTTTTCTCCCTTTGCAGGTCTCTGAAACTTTGCAGGGTGTCGTGGGTTGAGGGTGGGCGTGCTGTGGCCGTGGTTTCGCGTGGGTTCCGCGAAACTCGGCGGTCGCCGGAAAACTCGCGGGTTTTCCGGCGACTGAGTTCTTTTTTTTTATTTATTTATTTATTTATTTATTTATTTATTTTTATTATATGTATATATATTTTTTCCTTTCTTTCCCGGGTCGTTACAATGATGTTGACTATGTAGGATATCACGATACCCAAAGATCAAGCACCGGGTATGTGTTCAAGCTCGATTTAAAAATAATTTCTTGGTGTAGGAAAAGACAACTGACAGTATCATTGTCAACTACAGAAGCAGAGTACAAAGCAGTGATTGGAGCAGCTCAAATAAGTACATGGCTGAAACTCTTAACGGAGGATTTGCACAAAAAATTTGACTATCCAATATAAATTCATTGCCACAACCAATATGCGGTTTGCCTAGCATAAAATTCAAGATTTCATGCTAGAACAAAGCATGGGGAGGTGCATTACCATTTTATTAGAGAGAAAGTCTTGAAGGAAGAACACAGATGACCAAGTTGCAAACTTGTCTAGAAGAGGGCTGATATTGGAAAAATATTAGGGTTTTTGCTATCAACTCAACATGGTGTGGCGAACGAGAACTAGTGTTGAGGGGGAGTGTTAAAGTATCATCATTAGCCCAATAGAGTCAAGCTCAATAATTGTATGAATCCATTGTCTATATATTTTAGCAAAGTAATGTAAGTATTTTAGGAATAAAGATACCTAAATATTTTACGAAAATGATTTAGGTATTTTAGGAATAAATGATTTGATATTTTATGAATAACTTGTCTAGTCTCTCTTATAAATACCCCACCCTACTAAGGTTTTCATCCCAAGAAACCTAAAAAAATCACATGCATTCTCAAGCAAAGCAAAGTGCAGTAATATTCTATAGTCTCTTGTAATCTCTTCTCGATTTGTGTTTCTCGATTTGTGTTAATAAAGAGTGTGAGTGTATTCCACAAAGAGTTGTGTTAAACTTTTCACCCCTACCTATAATTCACCTGATATTACGCTCCTCAAAATTTAAGAAAAAAAAATTAATTTTTGTAGTATAACAAAGGTAAAATAGGAAAATTTAAGCATAGAGACAAAGAAAAAGAGTTCATGTCATTTATTAATACCAAACCCAAAATAGAAAGATAAGAGGTTTAATTGCTTCTACCGATCGTTACGGTTGCATGACAAAGCTACTGACATGATAGAAGAAAATGGCATTGGAGGGTTTGCGAATCATATTTAGGTGATTAGGAAATTGTGT